AACAATCTCCACGTGCTTGGTTTGGCAGGTTCAGTGAAGTGAAAAACTTTGGGATGAAACAGTGTCAGGTAGACCATTCTGGGTTCAGCCATGACTCAAAAGACGGGAAAATCTTGCTAGTGGTGTATATGGATGATATTGACATAACTGGGAGTGACAGTAATAGGATTTATAGGTTGAAGAAATTCCTACAGGACCACTTCAATACAAAGATTTGGGTAAGCTGAAGTACTTCCTGGGAATAGAAGTTGCAAGGTCAAGRCATGGARTYAACTTATGTCAAAGAAAATATGTTCTTGACCTACTTGAAGAAACAAGACTGTTAGGTGCTAAACCAACAAAGACTCCTATGGAACTGAATGTCAAGTTGAGTGTTAATGCAGGTGAAGAGTTTGATGATCCTAGAAGATATAGGAGGTTGGTGGGAAAGTTGAATTATCTGACTAAGTCAGATATATCATTTGTTGTGAGTATGGTGAGTCAGTTTATGCAACATCCTCGAATTCCTCATTGGGAAGCAGTTCTAAGGATTGTTAAGTACCTAAAGGGTGCTCCAGGTTGTGGTTTGTTATACAAAAGTGGAGGGACTCTTGAGATAGTAGGGTATATAGATGCTGATTGAGCTGGTTCTGTATCAGACAGGAGATCAACTACAGGGTATTGTACCTTCCTTGGTGGCAATCTTGCAACTTAGAAGACAAGAAACAAACAATATGGCAAGGAGTAGTGCAGAAGCTGAGTACAGAGCTATGGCTCATACCACATGTGAACTAGTATGGTTGAAGAACTTGCTACMAKWGATGGGGTTYTCRGTTGACAAACCCATGAGACTATACTGTGATAACCAAGCAGCTGTTCACATCTTTCCAATCCAGTCTTCCATGAGAGAACCAAGAATATTGAGGTTGATTGTCACTTTGTAAGAGAGAAAGTGATCAATGAAGTGATAGCCACATCTCATGTGAGCTCGGGAAATCAGTGGGCAGATCTCTTTACAAAGGTATTCTCTCGAGGCAGAGTATATTATATTTGTGACAAGCTGGGACTATATGACATATACTCTCCATCTTGAGGGGGAGTGTTAGAGTTCACAAAACAGGGGTATTTTGGTCATTTGGGTTTATCTATTTGAGAGTGAAAGGTCGGTTTTATTCAAGTTTAAGTTGTGTATCCCATCACTTATGAGGGACCCTTCTTCTTCTTCTCCTTCTTCTCTACCGTAACCTAGGACTGAATAAGGTGTTCACATTAACCACATGCCTTCTCAAGTCTTGGAGTTAAAATCTCCTTTAGGAGTCCTCTTTCTTGATGTTCAATTTTCTCCATTCCTCTGTAGGTCTTTGGTTGCACTTATTATATCCACATTCCCAATTCTAAGAGATAAGTTTAACCCCAAGGCTCAGAAGTGTATCTTCCTTGGTTGCACTTATTATATCCATTAGTGGCACCTAGTTTGTTTCCATGGATATCACCTTTTCAGAGTCAGTTCCTTTCTATAATCGTCCTTCTAAGGGGGAGAGATTTCTGAGTTGTTTTATTCACCCCTTCCTTTGCCAACTCCAATTGAGTCTTGTGTCAAGCCCTCCATAGTTACCACCATTCCCGTGGAGGGATCCTCTCCTCTGAGGATCCTATTCTCCACACCCCCTCCTCCTACTAGTCCTCCATCTTTTACCACTCATCCTATTCTCCAAAGGTGGTACCAATGGCGAAGGCTAAGGCAAACACAAGTTGATCCCACACCTCTAGTTGAGTCTCAGGCGCTTCCAATTACTAAAGAGAGGACATGTCCACCACCTCCTCCACCAGCACCCTCGTTTCCAGACCTTGACCTACCTATTGCTTTGAAATAAGGTAAGAGGGTACAGCTCATTGTATTTACAAACACCTTTCCTATAGCTTGTTGTCCCCATTCTACTATGCCTTTCTAGCATCCATTTCCTCTCAACCCATCCCAAAATTTGTTTCAAAAGCCTTAGCCACACTATAATGGAGGGATGCTATGAGAATTGAAATAGAAGCCCTTCATAAAAACAATACCTGGGATATTGTTGACTTGCCAACTGGGAAGGAACCTGTTAGGTGCAAGTGGATTTTCACTATCAAGTATCATGCAGATGGGTCAAATGAGAGGTATAAGGCTCGTTTTGTTTCTAAGGGATATACCCAGGTATATGGGATAGATTGCACTGAGACTTTTTCTCCAATTGCTAAAATGACTTCGGTGAGAGTTCTTTTATCCTTAGCAGTGAGCTATGATTGACCTCTGTATCAGTTTGATGTTAAGAATGCATTCCTAAATGTTGATCTCACTAAAGAGGTATATGTGTCCCTTCATCCTGGTATATATGGCAAGGACATGCAAAGTAAGATGTGCAGATTGAAGAAATCACTTTATAGCCTGAAACAATCTCCACGTGCTTGGTTTGACAGGTTTAGGGCCGCTCTTGTTCAATTCGGCTACACTCAGACTCAATTAGATCATACCCTCTTTGTTAAGAGAAGAAGCACCCTGGTGACATTCCTTATTGTTTATGTAGATGATATTGTGATTAGTGGCAGTGATACAAAAGAAGTTAGTGCTCTCAAGAAGTTTCTCAATTCTGAATTTGAGATCAAAGACTTGGGGGAGTTGTGGTATTTTCTTGGCATTGAGGTTGCTAGGTTCAAGGAAGGTATCTTTATTTCTCAGTGGAAGTATGTGTTGGATCTTCTTATTGAGACTAGAAAACTTGGTGCTAAACCTACTTCTACCCCTATTGATGTGAACCATAAACTCTCAGCTAATGATGGAGAACTTTTAGCTAACTAGGGAGTGTTTCAGAGATTACTAGGGAAACTTCTTTATCTATGTATGACTCGTCCAGCCATTTCATATGATGTGAGTGTCATCAACCAGTTCATGCATGCTCCCAGATACATACATATGGCTGTTGCAAAAAGGGTGCTATGCTATTTGAGGGGAACCCCCGGAAGGGTATATTGTTTGCTAAACATGGCCACATTAAAGTAGAAGCATATAAAGATGTTGATTGGGCAGGAAATGTGGATGACAGGAGATCCACATTATGTTATTGTGCTTTGGTAGGCAGAAATATTGTTTCCTAGAGAAGTAAAAAGCAGTCAGCGGTTGCTAGATCTTTAGCTGGGGCAGAGCATAGGGCTATGTCCCATGGGGTTTCTGAGTTGTTATGACTTAGATTTCTCCTTGATGAGATGGGTGCTTCATGTGACGAGCTACTGATATTGTATTGTGATAACCAAGCTGCTATTAACATTGCTCACAACCCGGTTCAACATGATAGAACTAAGCATATTGAGGTAGACAAACAATTTACACGGGAGAGAGTGGCTTCAAGAGAGGTGCGCCTTCCTTTCATTTCATCAAAAGAGCAGCTAGCAGATTTTCTAACTAAGGGAGTTCCAAAGGCAAAGCTTCAACATTATGTATACAAGCTGGCCATGATTGACGTCTATGCTCAGCTTAAGGGGGAGTGTACTGTTTAAGTTTATGTTTGTTGGTTACAAGCCTTAGTTATGGGATTTTTTTGTTTTCTTTAACTATTTCTTTAGTGCTGACCACCCCATTAAGGGCATCCAAGTAATTGTAATTAATTTTAGAATTAAGTTAATAAAAGAGATCAAAGGGGCTAGAAAGGATGAGTAGGGAAACTAGAAAGGATAGGATATAAATGGATGTATTTGTAGGAACTTTGGAATAACCCCAATAAGTGATGAAATGAGGCAAAATAGACTAAGATGGCCTATTCACAAGAAGAAAAGACCATTTACAGCACCAGTGAGAAGAATTAAGAATTGATCTATTGCAAGTTGAAGGATCTAGAAGAGATCAGGGCAGGCCATGAAAGACATAGATTGAACTAGTGAATAAAATGGTCTGAAAGCCTGTGTTTTAACAGTGGATATGACACTGAACAGAATGGAATGGCAGAACAGGATTCATGTATTGAAGCCAACCCCATAGAGTTGGGACTAGACTTAGTTGAGTTGAGTTGAATTGAGATTTATGAGCATCATCAATCACAAATGAGCAATAAAAAATTTCTTCACACCAAAAGAAGAGTTGGTGGAAGCTATAAAGATAAAAGTTGCTCATTGGATAAAAACACTCGAGCTGTTCCAAAGCTTCTCTGTGGCTGATATTCTGTGGGCTTGGAAAGAAGTGGCCTTTTCAACTAAGAAAAAAGAAAAGATGGTGATGGAATGGAAACCCCCAGCTGCAAATAAGTTAAAAGTTGAATTTTGATGGAAGTTCCATAGGGAATCTAGGATTGGCAAGTACAGGGGGTGTGTTCAGAGATTCAGCAAACGAAGTTCTGGCTATGTATTAAGGGCCTATAGGGGTTGGAGACTCCATAAAAGCTGAGCTTCATGCTCTTTTGCAGAGGTTAAAACTAGCCAAACAAGCAGATTTTAAAAACTTGGAGGTTGAAGGAGAGTCAAAACTGGTGATTTCTTGGTCCAACCTCAGAGGTAACATTCCCTGGATTCCTTGCGAGAAATTGAAAGTTTAGCAAGGGAGCTCAATGCCACTTTCACTTGGATCAGAAGGACTGCAAATGGAATGGCTGACTTGCTAGCAAAACAAGGAGTGTACAGACAAAATCTATTCTGGGCAGTTTTGTAATTCTTTTTTATTGTTGTGTCTGTGTTCTCCTGCTGGCTGTAATCTGTTTTTCAATTTAATAAAATTTATCCTTCTTTACTGATCAAAAAGTATTAAAAAAAATCTTCACACGCAATACTTACTGTGAAACCTATATATTGGTCCAGAATTGTTAAATATATATATATAAGCTATTTTGCTAGTTGTAGAAAATTAACATGAAACTTGCACTATAAAATGCATGCACTGATCAACTACCCATGGAAATTTAAAAGGAAACAAACAATGAAAATTAAGAAGTGGTATTAGTGTATATTGAGAAAAAGCAATTTAAAGAATATTGACTTGGAAAGCAAACAAGCAAGAATTTTACCTATTGGCTACCATTCGAAGTTGTTTAAAAGGCCAAATATATACACCTTCTACCCTCATTTGAGCTGCACGAGCATCATGTTCATTGTTGAAAACATCGTGGAAAATAATAACTCCCTATTGAATAACATGGAAAGTAATTAGTCTCTCATCTGTAGTTAAGCAACAAAAAGAAAAATCATTGAAGAAAACACAAATAAAAAATGAGCAAAAACATCTACTCTAGCACATTAATTTAAATGAAGTATTAACTTCTTTTCATGTACTGCTGATTAAGACATGTTTGCCTTTTTTATTGGTAAGACAAGTTGTATGCCTTTTGACTCTTGGCTTTCATATTAGGGTCTTACTTCTATCCTTATATACCATCATTCACCTCCATAAAGCTTCTCTCCATATTGATATAAGGCTTTGTTAAACAAGGTACTTGAATAAAATAAAATAAAAGAACAAATATGCGTTCTGATGTAATTCAGGAAGAAGAAGGAAAAGTCAACTAGGCTTCGAAGAGAAGAAGAAGAGGAAGAAAGAGAAGAGAAGAAGAAAAAGGGGTTCGGTTAGATAGATCTGCCGCCCCACTAGATATTATATATATTTATGTCCTTACAAAGGTAGGAGTTACTCTAATACCCCTACTTAAAATAAAAGACAAATAAACAAAAATAAGCAAGGCCCAACCGGCCCAACTGTAATAAAAAGAAATAAAGAATAAAATAAAATGTGGGGCGAGAACCATACAAACACACTAAAGAGCTACTAACTATCTCTACACTCCCCCTCAAGTTGGGAGTAGATATTTGTCATTCCCAACTTGCGTAAATCTATCTCCAACTTGATTTTTGTGACTGCTTTAGTAAAGAGATCAGCTAACTACATGTCTGAGGCAATATAAGGAAGACACACTTCTTGAGATGCGATTCGCTCTCGGATAAAATGTCTATCCACCTTGATATGCTTAGTCTTGTCATGCTGTATTGGGTTGTGGGCAATATTAATTGCAGCTTGATTAACGCAATACAACATCAGAGGCTTCTCATAATCAATTTCCAGCTCATTAAGCAAGGATTTCAGCCATAACACTTCTGCAACACCATTGGCCATGGACCTGTATTCAGCTTCGGCATTGGTGAGAGCAACAACATTTTGTTTCTTGCTTCTCCAGGAAACAAGATTTCCCCCCACAGATGTACAATACCTAGAGGTAAACTTTCTATCATCAACACATCCAGCCCAATCAGCATCTATATATACTTCTATTTTCATGTGACCACTATTCTTAAAGAGTATGCCTCTCTCTGGGCATCTCTTCAAGTAAGCAAGTATCCTTTCCACTACAAGAAGGTGAGTGGTCCTAGGAGAATGCATGTACTAACTAACAACACTGACAGCATATGAAATATCTGGTCGAGTTAGGTAAAGATAACGAAGTTTCCCAACCAACCTTTGATACAGCCCAATATTATGGTTCAGCTCAATGGGTGTGTCAACAGGCTTCACTCCTAACTTTCTAGTTTCTTCCAATAAGTTAAGAACATACTTTCTTTGAGAGATAAAAATTCCATGCTTAGATCGAGCTACCTCAATTCCCAAGAAATAGCGCAATTCTCCTAAGTCTTTCACTTCAAATTCCTTGTAAAGATGTTGTTTAAGAGATTCAATCTCACTAATACCACTTCCTGTTATCACAATGCCATCCACATAGACAGCAAGTAGGGTCAGGGAAGAGTCTGTCTTCTTAAAGAAGAGAGTGTGATCTGACTAAGCCTGCATGTAACCAAATTTTTCCAAAGCCAGTGTAAACCTATCAAACCAAGCTCTCGGGGATTGTTTCAACCCATATAAAGCCTTCTTCAGTAGGCAAACTTTCCTTCCTATTTTTGTACTGTAAAAACCAAGGGGTAACTCCATGTACACCTCTTCTTGCAAGTCTCCATTGAGGAAAGAATTCTTAACGTCCATCTGAAGTATTGGCCATGAGAAATTTGCAGCAATGGATAGGACTCTGATAGTGTTCATCTTGGCAACTAGTGCAAAGGTTTCCATATAGTCTATGCCATAAGTTTGTGTTAATCCCTTTGCAACCAATCCGGCCTTATACCTCTCTATAGAACCATCAGCATTATATTTCACAGTAAACATCCATCTGCATCCAACAGGTTTCTTCCCCTCAAGCTAGTTAACTAGTTTCCATGTGTTGTTCTTAACAAGAGCATCCATCTCTATTTTCATCGCTTCCTTCCACTCAGGTATCAATAGAGCTTCTTGCATTGTTCTGGGTATAGGAATAGTAGCAATAGATGCCAGGTAAGATCTATAGGATTCTGAGAGACAATAATAAGAAAGGAATTTGGAGATACAATGGGTAGTGGATGAAGTACAACGGCGCTTCCCTTTATGAATTGCAATTGGAAGATCAAGGTCATTTGAAGGGGGAGGCTGAGGATCAACGGTGTCGGGCAAAGTATTTGCAATAATGGGCTTAACAATGGGAGCAATGGTAGTGCTTAGATCCGGAGCTGTAGAAGATGTTGGGATCGGCCTAGACTGTTGCTGAGGATGGGAATCAACCTCCCTCCACCACTACCTGTGATACACTCTCAACTCCCTGCACTTTTAACAACCCTCTTCACGACACTCCCCCTCAGTAACTAGGACAGGTAATGGAACTTTTGGGGCTGAAACTGAAATCCCTTCCTCACTACTCTCCCCCTGAGGAGAAGCCCTATGATAGTAGGGCATATCCTCAAAAAAGTGCAATCCATGGACACAAAATGCTTTCCTGAAACAGGCTCATAGCATCAATGTCCCTTTTGATTTTGTGCATACCCAAGAAAAATACATTTAGCAGCTTTGGGATCAAACTTGAAGCGATGAGGTCCAAGGATTTGAACAAACAAGTATGCCCAAAAGTTTTAATGGGGATAGTGAATAGGTTCTTGTCTGGATACAGAAGGTTGAATGGTGTTTCCAAGTCTAGAACCCGTGAAGGAATCATGTTAATAAGGTAAAATAAGGTAAATAGTTGTACGGATTGCATCCCCCTAGAAGCGTATGGGAACATTAGAGTTGAGCATGATGCTTCTGGCTACCTCTAGGACATTGCTATTTTATCTCTCAGCAACCCCATTCTGCTGAGGTGTACAAGGACAAGTGCTTTGATGAATGACCCCATGATCTAGGAGATATGATGCCAAGGGTTTTGCAAAGTACTCCTTAGCATTATTGGATCTGAGAATTTTGATCTTGACTTCAAACTGGGTCAGTACCATCTAATGGAAAGCCTGGGTCAGAGAAGGGACCTCATCTTGAGAGTGCATAAGGTAAACCCATGAGAAACGGGTATAATCATCAACAAATAACAAACAATATCTGTACCCTCTCATAGTATGAGTATGATATGGCCCCCAAACATCTGTATAAACAATTTCAAAAGGAAGATTGCTTCTTTTATTGCTCAAAGGATAAGTTGATCTACAATGTTTTGCAAGTTCACAGCTTTCACACCTCAGACTAAACACTTGGAATGACTCAAATAAATTTGGAAACAGACTCTTCAAAGACCCAAAAAACAAATGACTTAATCGATTATGCCAAAGCATAATCTGACTCGAAGACAGAGAGACAAACAATTTCCCAACTTCACTCTACTTCCCCTGTGGATGTTCAAACAGGTAAACTCCATTCGTCTCACGGCCAATCCCAATCACCTTCTTCGTTTCCAGATCCTAAAAAACACAACGATCAGGAAAAAGGTCACTGAACAGTTTTGATTCTTAGTAATACTACTAACTGAAAGCAAGTTAGCACTAAGCTTAGGAACATGCAAAACTAAGGATAGGGAGATGGCATCAGATAGTTTGATGTCTCCCTTGCCAGAAATAGGCACAAGGGAGCCATCAGCGATAGATACTTTGTCTCTGCCAAAGGATAAACAATAGGTGGTAAACAAGGTAGATAAACTAGTCATATGGTCTTTTTTTATCAATAACAGAATGTTTTATTAGATTATAAAAATTGTGAAACTTTGAGTACAAGAGAGGGGAGGTAAAATATCTTAATTCCCCCACAACAGAGAACAAGAAGGAAAGCTAAAAAGTGGCCCAAAACAAAGAATCCTTAAGCACCCCTTGCTTGGCTAACCCATCAGCCATGGAATTAGCACTTCTCTTCACCCAGCTGTACTTCACCTCAATATCCCTAAACCATTGTTGTCTTCCTTCAACCACCTAATTACCACCTCCGAGTCCCTTCAATGACCAAGCACCGAATGTTTAATTCTCTTGCTCTTTTGAATCCTTCCAAAGTTGCTAAAATCTCTGCCCTAAGAGAGTCACCCTCACCAATAGGGCCAGAGAACATAGCAAAAATAATCCCAGCCTCATTTCTGAAAACTCCCCCAATCCCAGAAGGCCCAGGATTCCTTAAACTACAACCATCAAAATTCAGTTTCATGAATCCTGAAGGAGGGGGGGACCAAGAAGGTCTAGAGGTCC